TGACAAATTCTCAGAGCTCTCAGTTGGGTTCCACGGACACCAGTGCTGGGTTACTGCACATGGCTGGCGCGGCCACCTCCGATAACAGTGCAGGATTAAGGAGTCGCGTGATTGTAACTGCACTGCAGTCATTGCCCCAATACACACTTTTGCAGGAGGTACAAATGGAATGGGAGCTTTTGGACAAATCACCTGGATTGCACTCAATCGCGTCAAAATATCGGAAGCTAAGCCGGAGTGAGCCTGGTTAGTGCTTGGCTGGGTGAACACGTCGTGAGCATTTTATTGTGTTATTTTATTTTATCAATTTATTATTTTATTCTCATTCTACGTGACTTTACCGAAAGAACCAAAGAAGATGGGTGAACACCATGTATAAAATGGGTGTTAAAGGATGTTGCATGGGACAGTGCATAAAATACATTGATGTACTGTACTCCAACATATATGCTTCCCACCTTCCCCATCCCACATTGAGCAACATACTGAAGTATGGTAAATGAACCCCCAAGACCCGCAAGGCATGGGGAGGCCCTCAATACAGCAGTGGATTAACAAAACGGCTGTAAACGTACACAAGTAAGCATGTATATGCGTACAAATAAATTCCGTGGATTTTGAAATGCAATACAAAAGTAGTTCTGGTAGTGCCGGACTTCCGCGGATTTCTAAACACGGCAAACCTTTGAGGAGGGCGGAGTAAAATTGAGGCTCGATGGCCCCGACCGCCACATACTGCCCGTCGGCCGTACGGTACGTGTCGTAGAAGGGTGCTCCAGTGTCCAGCATGTTCTCTCCGCGAGGCCGGGCCCACAGGCCCGCGGGCCGCGTGCGCCACACGAATGAGCCCACATAGGCCGCCCCCTCCACCTGCCCGGGAGCGCAAAGTAGACAGGAGGTGAGGCGAGACAGCAGCCCCCAAGCGACGTCGTCCCAGTGACCGGCTTGGGAGAGATTTATCAGAATCAAAATATTTATTTATACTGGGGGATTCAGATGAGCTATGTAGCTATTTTTTTCACAGATGCCAAGGAGGGGCGGGTGAGAGCGCTACATCAAGCAATACAAAAACACGACAGGAGTGCAAAATATAGGAAAGGTAACCAAATCGCTTAAAAAATATATAAAAATAAACACGTTTTATCTTTCCAGGTAAAGCCCACCAAACCGTTAGCTTATTTTTCAGAAGTGACCTGCCCATAAATGATAGCGCAACGAAGTCGCTTACCACAATGGAATTTACAGCAGCAAAATCATCCAAATAATCTATCTCCTTTCTTCCACTGTACAACCGAGGCCATGGTGATGTGGCTCAGAAGGCGCCAGGTTGTTTTCCCACTGCAGGACATGAGCCGTGCTGCTGACATTACTTGCAATAAACGAGTCGAGTCGCGTGCAGATAGTGATACGTATAATAGAAATTATTAACCCCGCCCCTGGCCCTGCTTGGCCCCCAGCCAGAATCCGATGCGTAGCCAGAGTTTCACGGTTTGGTTCTGGCTTGGCTGGACAAATAGCCGATAGAAAACCACCTGTACTCTGAAGGCCCCTCATGTAGCTAGAGCTTAGGGGCTCACATTATGAGGGGCCTCTAAATATACAAAAAAATATCTGATATGAAGTGTCAAGTTTTACATAATCGGTTGAAAAATAACGGAGATGGGGAAAGGCATTCTTCGATGGGGCCTCTTAAGCTTGACATAGCTTAGGGCCCCAGCAATGCCATAATCCGGTCCTGGTTGCATCTCTCTACAACAGGGGTGGCCAACCTGTAACAGACTAAGAGACAAAAATTACCCATGAGTTCTGCAAAGAGCCAAGTGTATATATATTGACAGTTTTCGGCACAGCACGGGGGACATTCATTATTCTCTGCTACTGTGAAAACGTGTTCTATGTTATGCCCTTTAAAAAGAACTGCATGTGGTGGATTAAAGAGCTGCATGTGGGTCGGAAGATGCCCAGTTGGCCACCGCTGCTCTACAAGAAGACAGAGCAGCCAAGGGGGCAGGACACTTGGCACCCCTCACATCACATCACATGCAAAAGGTGTGGGTGGCCTGCCGTTCCATCACCAGTCTTTTCCATGATACTTTGTTCTTTGGCCAGAAATGCATCCTGCCCAAGAAGACGTATTTTCTTAAACAGCCAATATCAAGGATCTAATTTTATTTGTTACCCGATCTATGCACTCCGTCTTCACGTCTCTCAGTGCATTCCCAGCGTGCACCTCTCCACGTGTCTTTGTACACTGTTCATCTCCTGTTCCATTTTCTTTGTGAGTGTCATTTTTCTGGTTCAAATGGAATTGCGGTAACATGCACTGATTACTTTTTCATGCAAATTGCCTTTTGACAGCCTAAAAATGTGTAGGTTATCATGGTATTTTATATTAATTCTTTTTTCCCAGAATCTGATTGATAGATGCATGACTGAAGACGTCATATCAAACAATGAATGGGAGCATGATAGCAGTTGATTGACTATTCATAAAAGATTGCCATTTGGTATAAAAATGGAAGCATTACACATGATTGGGACAAATCCTTAACATTAGTGTATAATGTAATATGGATCTCTGTAGCAAAACCAATGAATATGAATTATACACACGTTGTAATGCTTACCTAATAGGACTGAAAGCGTGTTTGAATTAGCTGTCCATCCATACTCTGTTCTGCACTCCGTTTGTCTGTCCGTCCATAACAACATAACTCCCGTGTAGGTGATACAGTGAGGGAAAAAAGTATTTCATCCCCTGCTGATTTTGTACATTTGTCCACTGACAAAAAAATGATCAGTCTATAATTTTAACGGTAGGTTTATTTGAACAGTGAGAGACAGAATAACAACAACAAAATCCAGACAAACGCATGTCAAAAATGTAAAAAATTGATTTGCATTTTAATGAGGGAAAAAAGTATTTGACCCCCTCTCAATCAGAAAGATTTCTGGCTCCCAGGTGTCTTTTATACAGGTAACGAGCTGAGATTAGGAGCACACTCTTAAAGGGAGTGTTCCTAATCTCAGCTTGTTACCTGTATAAAAGACACCTGTCCACAGAAGCAATCAATCAATCAATCAGATTCCAAACTCTCCACCATGGCCAAGACCAAAGAACTCTCCAAGGATGTCAGGGACAAGATTGTAAACCTACACAAGACTGGAATGGGCTACAAGACCATTGCCAAGCAGCTTGGTGAGAAGGTGACAACAGTTGGTGCGATTATTCGCAAATTGAAGAAACACAAAAGAACTGTCAATCTCCCTCGGCCTGGGGTTCCATGCAAGATCTCACCTCGTGGAGTTGCAATGATCATGAGAACGGTGAGGAATAAGCCCAGAACTACACAGGAGGATCTTGTCAATGATCTCAAGGCAGCTGGAACCATAGTCACCAAGAAAACAATTGGTAACACACTACGCCGTGAAGGACTGAAATCCTGCAGCGCCCGCAAGGTCCCCCTGCTCAAGAAAGCACATATACATGCTCGTCTGAAGTTTGCCAATGAACATCTGAATTATTCAGAGGACAACTGGGTGAAATTGTGGTCAGATGAGACCAAAATGGAGCTCTTTGGCATCAACTCAACTCGCCGTGTTTGGATGAGGGGGAATGCTGCCTATGACCCCAAGAACACCATCCCCACCGTCAAACATGGAGGTGGAAACATTATGCTTTGGGGGTGTTTTTCTGCTAAGGGGACAGGACAACTTCACCGCATCAAAGGGACGATGGACGGGGCCATGTACCGTCAAATCTTGGGTGAGAACCTCCTTCCCTCAGCCAGGGCATTGAAAATGGGTCGTGGATGGGTATTCCAGCATGACAATGACCCAAAACACACGGCCAAGGCAACAAAGGATTGGAAGAAGCACATTAAGGTCCTGGAGTGGCCTAGCCAGTCTCCAAACCTTAATCCCATAGAAAATCTTTGGAGGGAGCTGAAGCTTCCAGTTGCCAAATGTCAGCCTCGAAACCTTAATGACTTGGAGAAGATCTGCAAAGAGGAGTGGGACAAAATCCCTCCTGAGATGTGTGCAAACCTGGTGGCCAACTACAAGAAACGTGTGACCTCTGTGATTGCCAACAAGGGTTTTGCCACCAAGTACTAAGTCATGTTTTGCAGAGGGGTCAAATAATCATTTCCCTCATTAAAATGCAAATCAATTTATAACATTTTTGACATGCGCTTTTCTGGATTTTTATGTTGTTATTATGTCTCTCAATGTTCAAATAAACCTACCATTAAAATTATAGACTGATCATTTCTTTATTCTGATGATGACCGTTTGCGTTATGGTCGAAACGTCGTGAGAATTTGTATTGTTTTATATATATTTTATTGTTTCCCTTCAACGTGACTTATGATGACCGTTTGCGTTATGGTCGAAACGTTGTGAGAATTTTTATTGTTTTATATATTTTATTATTTTATTGTTTCCCTTCAACATGACTTTACCCAAAGAGCTAAGAATATGAATTACTGCAGTCACGAAAGCTTTAAATCAAAATTTGATCATTTCTTTGTCAGTGGGCAAACGCACAAAATCAGCAGGGGATCAAATACTTTTTTCCCTCACTGTACAATATGAACCAAATCATAGAATAAGGTTGCGTTGCCATTTGGGACTTACTTTATTAAAAACTGGCCACATTGCTAAAAAAGGCTTGAACCAAACTTTGAGACACAAACTAGTGTAAAAAATACTCCTGTAGTTGCTAATATTCAAGCATAATTTTCCATCATGGTTTACTCACACCAATAGCCGGGCGGTGGTGGCTACGCACACCTGTAATCTAGCACTGTGGAGGCAGCAAGGGTTGGTAGATCACATAAATATTGCAAACCTCCCTTCTTGTGGGCATTGAGGTGCCATACCATGCCTCGCGTAGGGGCCACTCTTGTAGAGTGTTGCACCCACACAGTGGGTTTTCTCCGGGTGCTGCGGTTTCCTCCCACATGTGTAGTGGGTTACATTCAGGCGCACACTGGAACTTTGGAGGCAACACTATTTATTAGCGAAACTCTTAACATTAACAGGATAATGACATAGGGTGGTAATCACCGTTCCTAACTTAGCTAACACACGGGGATACTAGATTACTGGACTGGAGACCGAGGATCGTAGATGGTGGCTTCATCCCAGAGTTGACCCAGCAGAACAGCCCAGCTCTCCGTCCACACCCTGCTTATAACCACTCCGGTGTGGCCGGCTCCGCCCCAGGACACGCCCCCCCCTTCCCGATCCTTCGGGAAGGCCCGAGCCCCCAACCACGTAACCCCCCTAGGGCCCCTGGCCCCCCTTTATCCGGTCACGTGTCCTGTTGGGTTCACGCAGAGTGTCACGGCCTGACACGACCTCTGTGACACCCGCCTACAGCCCCCATACCGAGCCAACACAGTAGTGTCGTTCTACTACACTACATCACCCCCCCCCCTCCCCGTATAACACACAGCCGTCCCGGCTGTAACGCAATTGTGAAAAATAAAGAAAATATTGAAAGGTGTGCCTCCAAACAAGCAACATTAATAAATAACCGGCGACCGATAATACCGCAAAAACATATGTACACATACCGAGAGGGGAAAAGGAAGAACGTATGGAACGAGGGGAACCAACAACAACACATGTACATCAAGAAGAACTAGTCAACCCGCTTACCCCTCAGCACAGCCCACCCATGTGAAAATTACGCACTCACTGACATATGAATGTGACCGTTTGAACAACGGTGTAGGCAATCAACAAGGTGTGAGAGTCATGTACAGCGGCCAGTCTTCGAACGAGTTCGCGTGGCCGGGCCCCCAGGGGAGGCGAGCACGCTCTCCCTGGAGGTCCTGGGAGAACTTGAAAAAGGCCCAAAAAGGGCACGGCCCCTCCCCAGGAGTTGAGCAACAGGAAGAGCAGGAGTGACGGACGGGCGCTCCACTCCTCCCCTCAAGTCCACATCCGGTCAGCACAACCGGCGACTCCAAGGGTGGCAGGTGCTGGAATCTTGTGACAAGACGAAGAAACCCAAACCTCCTGAAGCACAGCACCACGAACACGCGCCTCAGCTCGTTGGACACGACAGCCACCCGGCCCCAGGGTAGTGGAGATGATTGTATTCCGCCCGATGGGAGAAAATAAAAACAAAAATACACAGATTCCGACGTGTTGGATGCACAATCAACACCGGTAATCGAACCGAAATCACACACCAACACCACATGGATGGCAGGGTCCCACACCACCCTGCCACCGTCCCATCCCTCAGGTAGTGAGAAGGCGAAGACCGACATGTCTAGCACCCATCTACACACCAATTAACATTCCGGACGTCTACCGACATCCCGGGTCGAGAAGTCGTACCTCAGGGTCCGACCCATGTACTGGGGCAAAGGAGTCGCACTTCAGGGTCACCCCAGTATCTAAATTTTTTGAGAAATATAAATTCGGCATGATAAAAAAAATCTGCCTGCTCTTGCCCAGAAATGGCGGCCGCACGTGCGAAGCACATTTGCGAGGTTTCCCGTGCTCGTACAAAATGGCGGCCACATGCGCGAACCGCATCTCCGCGGTTTCCCGCGCTCGCACAAAATAGCGGCCGCATGCGTGAACCGCATCTCCGTGGTTTCCTGCACTTGCCCAAAATGTGGGCCGCATGTGCGAACCGCATCTCCGCGGTTTTACCGTTCTTGCATCTCAGCAGCCCTCCCTTGGGGACCACAACGGACATCTCATGTCACATGTTCGCACCCCCAGCCTTTCCGACACGTCACCGCAGCCCATTGCACGCGTTGGCCGTATCGGGGGAATTTTAAACCAGTCTCTCCAAGACTCGCATTGCAGCAATCAGCTGTCCCAACCGAGCTGAGAAGACAACAACACCTCTCTCCTGGACTCGCATTGCAGCAATCAGCTGTACCAACCGAGCTGAGAAGACACACCAACCCCTCTCTCCAAGACTCGCATTGCAGCATTTAGCTGTACCAACCGAGCTGAGAGGACACCTCGAACCCCTCTCTCCAAGACCCGCATTGCAGCATCCAGTTGTACCAACCGAGCTGAGAGGACACATCAACACCTCTCTCCAAAACTCACATTGCAGCATCCAGCTGTCCCAACCGAGCTTAGAGGACACATTGCTCACACACTCCAACTCGCAACGCAGCCCCTGGCTGCATGCAATCGAGCGGAGAGCGACGCCATTTGGCGGCAATTTACAGCCCCATGCACCCTTGTCCTACATAGAACCTAAGAGGTACCGTCGCACAAAAAAAACATATTTTTTTACGTTTGTCGAGCAACAACGGACAGGGACCAACCAGTGAGCTCGTAACACACTGAACCCGTCAATCCAAAATCCCCCACAACCTCAACCACGGGATTTCCACAGGGCTGAGGCACCCAACTCAAGAGCAAAACACCATACACGATGGTCCAAATAATCAACGATATCGTGCAATGCAGTATATGCAGTATACGCAGTCTGTACACGTCAACCATTTGGAGCGATGCTCCATACAGTCCGCACATAGCAACACTCACGAGCAAAGCTCCATACAGTCCGTACCTTGTTAATAATCGCGAGCAAAGCTCCATACAGTCTACACTTCGCCAGCAATCGCGAGCGAAGCTCCATACAGTCTACACATCGTCAACAATCGCGATCAAAGCTTCCTACAGTCCACACATCGTTAACAATCGCGAGCGAAGTTGCATACAGTCAACACATCGTCAACAATGTCGCAGTCCGTACATCGTCAACAAACGCGACTCAGCAACAACAAAAAAACGATGTCACAACGCGAACTGTTGACACGGCAACCCACAGGATTTTAACAGGGCTCAGGGCACTCGAACATGACCAAAAAAAATGCAACAAACAGCCCCCTAAAAAATAAACGATCCCGACGCCGTAATCAACAACAAACAATGTAACAACGCGGACACCCGCACGGACGCCTCGTCCATCCGCCACTCACACAACCTGATTAACACACTCTGCCAGCCAGCGAGTAAAAGTAAAAAAAAACACGCAATCGCAACCTGGGCACACAAGATGGGTGAAGTGACTGCAAGGGCCGGGTATATGTCATGTCACGACTCGCCTGAGAGGCTGTGAATAGCGGAGGACGGCAGGGTGGAGACTTGAGACACCCTGAAGAATCTTGGATGGTGAGCGCAGTATCCTCTTGCGAACTGATCCGGCTTCCCGCACTCGAACAGAAGATGGGGGCGCCACTGAGACGCCCGAAGATCTCCCTCCGCAGGTGTTGAAAATGGCGGGAATGGCATTTTGGCGGGAATCACATCCCGACAGGCTGCCGGAGCGCCAGCAACAGTGGCGGCGTCCTCTCCCCGCGGCTCCGGTGCTCTCTCTCTCTCTCAACGGCGGTGAAGCAGCGGTGTGATGTCCGTGTTAAACATTTACAATCAGATTGTAAATCTTCTTTGTAAATGTCTTCTTTGTAAATGTCTTTGTAAATGTTGTGACTTTGCTCTCCAACACACCGGTCTGCTATACTAGTGTAGCGTCAACAATTCAGAGAGGAGGCACTTTCTTTATTAACAGCCTGTACATAACACTAGCCGTCTAACACTGACGGCGTTGACTGAGATAGCCAACTACTATCCTTCGTAGTGCAATATCTAGCGGAGACGTTTAGTGACAACGCCGATGAGACGACAGCAACGATGAGACGAGTTTATTCCCAGAACCGGCAGCCTCGAGCTCCTTCCTGATCTTGGGTCCTTTTATGCTCCCAGCGCGGCCTGGCTCCGCCCTGACCGCGCCTCCCTTCTTGAACCCGCTAGCAGGTTCCAGAGGCTTCCAGATGGGGTCCTCCGTGACCCTTGCCCCAGTTCCTCCACCCTGCCAACACACCTGTACTGTCTGTCCACCACAGTTGCTGCCCACCAGCCGGCACTATTACACTACACAGAAAACAAGTAAGACTTGATTTCTAAACAGTGTGAGAACCCATATAGGCAAAGGTCTCTTTGGCAATGGAAACCTAATGCAAAGAACAAATTATGCAGTATGCAAACATATTTCACTAGGGGAAAGGAATAAATGCAATCATAAAAAAACAAAAGTGCAATAAAAATCCTGACGTAAATATTGGGCAGGGATAGGCAGTCTGATGCAAGACCAGCCCACTAGGCCACCCGGCCACCACACAACACGAGGCTCAATATGATCATCATCATTATGTTCATCATCATCCTCATCATCAGTCTCTGTATCCAGACATCCAAGTCGATTGGAGGGCAACATCTCCCATTGCCTTCATATCCTCCCATCTGCTGTCTTCATCACTCTTCAGTGATCTTCTCTCCTTTCCGAGGCCTATATGACACCAGCTTACCACCTTCTTCCTTGGCCGTGCCTCTTGGTCTCATTCCCTCCATTCTCAACTCAACAGTCCAACCCAAATACTTAGTTTATTTAGTTCAAACGGGTGCAAACTCAGGAAACCAGAATAGTCTAATTTGCAACACCTGGGGCATTGGTCTGCCAGTAGGGGGCGATGAATGCAAGGTATAATCTCGATTAAGTAGTTTGTGGTTAATTGTTTTACTCGCCAAAATAGGACCTTGTCACCGTTACACATTGTTAGCTTGTCGATGAAGTCAGGGGATCTTTAATGTCTGCTGTCAAACAGACGGTATGAAGGATTTAATGGTTAATAGACCCTCAGTAATAATCAGGACAGCAGTTGGATACGAGCTGTGAACCTCTGCAACAAACGGCGAACACCCCACTGCTAGGGGCCACGTCACCGCCAACACTGAGCACAACGTCGACAGGGCTCAGTTTCCTTTCAACAGCAGCATCGGCAAAAATGTAAATTACGCGGGGATGCACGCACCATGCTCGTGTCGATGATTTGCCCGAGGCCAGACCTGTTCCTCTCCAGCATGGCCATGGTGATGCCCATGGCACACATGAGCCCACCGCCCGCAAAGTCCGCCAGCAGGTTCAGAGGCGGTGTGGGCTTCTCGCCCTGGCGCCCCAGCATGGACAGCAAGCCTGCAGGGTCAGGGAGGAACGGCCGCACACAATATAATGACGTAGCCACCGCCACGCGAGAAGCTCCAGCTCAGCAGAAGGATTCCCCTCCCTCTACAAATCCACTTTAAAACATTTCACAAATATTGCAAACATACATGAGAGCCCACTGCCTTTTTTTGCATGTGTTTGTTTAGTCTGTTGTCCTTCCCCATACCTCCAATGAGCATGGTTTCTACATACGGTGCGAAAGAAGTTCAACATACATACATGTGCCCAATTTTTTTTCAGATCTCACAAGCTAAGCAGGACTGAGCATCGATAGTGATCGGATTGGCACCGCATACATAACATATGTCACAGTGGGCTGCAGGACAATGTAGCCAGCAGAGGACAGTGCACCGAAATCCATTGTTGCGCTGTACTTTGCTCTAAAGTCTACGCTCCCGGTTTTACATTCGATAAGCCCATTATAGCAACAGATTTACGAACCGAAGCTAATGCATGAAAGCTTTCAACACTTGTTGGAAAGCACGAATAACCACTGCTCTGTTGTCTCCCGTGGCGACTCCACATTGCCGGCAACGGCAGCGCCCCCCCTGCCCCCCCCCCCCCCCCCCGAACTTATCTACGCCGCGCATTGCGGGCCCTACCGGACATGGCGGCATAGTTGATGTCGTGGCCGGCCATGCTGGCGTAGGGGCCGCTCTGGCCGAAGCCGGTGAGCCGCGCGTAGATGAGACGAGGGTTCTCGCCAAGCAGCACGTCTGGGCCCAGGCCAAGCCGCTCCATCACACCTTGGGGAAAGGGGAGCACGCGGAGGGACATGGGGACACAGGACAGAGACAAGGGAGACGCGGGGATGTAGGGACATGAGGACAGGACAGCCACAGAGAGATGTTTTTGCTGATTCATTTTTAGATAATTAATATTCTACTTGTGGGAATAAACTGGTGTCACTAGAGAAAACTCAACACAAAACAAGAGGGGATAACACTCACTGGTCCGTACAGCAGAGTTCACAAACCTACATACCATACTAACATCTCCTGGCCACCCCTCCAACAGCCCGGTAGGTTTTGGAGTTTTACAGATCTTTGAGATATACCAACCCTCACCTTTGAAGTGCTCGATCATAGGCATGCACCACCATGCTGTAAGATAACAGTGCCTCCTGCCAGCACTGATGCATGCGTGTGTGTACCTGTGTGCTGCTCAGTAGTGCAGCGGTTAGCTCTCTCCACTATGGCTCCAGCAACCCGAGTTCAATTCTGGTTACGGCCAACACCAATGATGATTACCTGAAACAGTCCTGGGCCTCCCGTAGGTCGACTCAGCCTAAAATGAGCACCTGGTGAGGGGTGTAAAAACAACAGCACAAGGGAGACAAAGGCGGCCGGGCGTGGTGGTCATCCACCCCCTCGTGTGCCATGCCAGCCTTCTTAGGTGCTACTCACTTGCCCCAACAGCCTGTTAAGGGTGTACTACAGTGGGGGGTGGAGTCTTTGCATTTGTGTGCGCTTCTCTGCTGGTACCGGGGCGGAAGGGCTCAATGAGAACGTCGGAGGCACGACACAGCCGGCGCAGCACAGCTACGCCTTGCGGACACTTCAGATTGAGCGTCAGCGACAGTTTCCCCCGTGCCAGCACATCTGGCATGGTGGCACGCGTCCCCGTGCGGTCAACACGCACCACCCGTGCCCCAAAGTCCGCTAGCACCATCCCGCAGAAGGGCGCCGGCGCCAGGCCGGCCAGCTCCACCACGCGCGTGCCGGCAATCGCCATTGCTCGCAATGCTGTGAATACAAAGGTGATGCGTTTAGCCGTGGCAAGCGCTGTAAATCGTCTGTGTCGGATTCCAAGGTTGTGCTGTATAGGTTTATCTGTGTTTTTGGTTTGGAACACACGTTGTTCGAGGCCAGACCTATTCCTCAGATCCTGAAGAAGCTCCAAGAACGTACAGCCAAACGTCGGACAACATACCAAATAACACGCTGTGCAACCACAATACACATCAGACAACGCTGTAAATAGAGTAAGTTTATCCATGCTCAAATAAGTGGTCGTCTCGCTCTACGCCAGTGGTGGAAATTACATATTCCCATGGTGGAGGGCAGTATATTCTTAGGACGACCACCGTTGACTTCCCAAACTCAAAATAATTTTTTGACCACAGTGCTATTGTTGAACTGTTATTAAGGTCAACGTGGCACACAAGGGGTGGTGTTGTCAGATGTATGTCAGACCACCTGTATTTTTCGAGTGCATCAGGTACACACTGCACCAGGCACATGTTCTTGGCCGATTTAACCTGGAGGAGCCCCAGGTTCAGATTCCATTTCAATGCGCAAAACTGCACCACACACACACTCCGCATACGCATCGCAAAAGATGATTGCAACACACAAATTTAAATTTTGAGAGATGCTTAAATGTCTTAAAGGACTCTCACCTGGTTAGAAATAATGGAGATGTGTTCACCAATGCTTGCAAGCCTCCTGGTGCAAATATTGATGCTCGCAAGCTGTTTTTAAACGAACATGTGAATGTTACAAAGTTGGCTCCTTTTATCAGTAATGCGCTGCGAGCAATGCGGCTAACGTTTGGGGCAAAGTCTACTACTGTGTAAGCCATTGTTGGGCATAACAGCAAACCTAACCCTGTAAATTATCTACACAGTGTTGGTTTAAATGTGCGTGAAAATGTTTTACAGGAAAATGATTTCTCTTCACAGAGTTCAGTTGAAAATATTCGAGAAATGAGAGTTCCAAAAGTTAATGATTTTTTCTAAATTCTAATTTAAAACCATTCCAAAGTTTTGTTCAAAACCTAACATTGCACGCTTCATCTTTACCAGCAGAATAAATGACTTGCATTGTTCAACAGTTACATAGAAAAACGATGACCGTATTCCCTTTATCCAACAATTCGTGAGTCTCAATAATTAATTTAAAGTAGCATTTGTTAATTACATTAAGGCTCTGGGTTTCTATCACAGAAACCCAGAGAAGACCCACAACGAATACGATGGGGCAACACTCAAAACTCCGCACAAAATGGATTCAAGAATCAATTTTTAAGAACCCATTTGCTATTCTGCCATTTAGGGCGCCTTGTAGCCCAAACCTACAACACCTGGTATCGCTGCGAAGTCTAGTGTCCAACCACGAAGCAGGCTCAACACCGCTTAACAGTTGACATCAGAGATGGAACACAGTCATGGAAATTTGACCTTTGGCCACCCTAGTTAAGAATTTAAGGATAAATCACAACGCAGAGAAAATTACGGTACTGTATTCACAATGCATTTACATCTTTCTTCAAAGTGTATGTTTATTTCTCACTCGAAATGTTGCAAATGAGACCCCTCGTTCGGCTGCACATTAAACGTTTCCCCTTTAATGTTGCTACCTGAAGTAACGTTTGACAAACATTAACTGGACTTATATTCTTGGTTCTTTCGGTAAAGTCACCTCGTGCCCGGCGACCCCCTGTCAGCCTGGGGGCACCCGAGGTCACCGGCGACACTCACGCGGGGTGGAGGGGGGGACCTTACAATGAGTGTGGTGGGGATTGAACAGTGGCCGTCCGATGGATATACTTTCCCCTGTCGCAGTAACGTCGAATAAGTGTCGCACGCCGCCAACAAGTCAGACAAGCGTCACGCCGTCATTGCCGGTTTTAGCAGGGCCGACGCTCAGATTGTGTGCCCGTAGTTAAATATCTTCTAATTTTAACCGGTTGAGGAGAGAGTAGCCCCACATTTGTAAATGTGAGTGACCTTGTCACCCTGAGTGAGGACTGCACGAACGAGCGGACACCACCTCACGCGCCATCCACCAAATGACAACTGCGTACAACAGCCAACTCCTCTTCACGCTGAACGAATAATGTTCATAACAACAATGTTAACAAACATTACAATTTAGAATAATTGCATCGCAGTCAATGATAACAACAATGGACGACTCACCGCGGAGTGCCCAAACTCAAACAAAAAAACACTGCCACCGAATCGCTCGCCACTCTCCGCCCTCGAGGCGGATCATCGACGCGACCGTTCCGAGGCACAATTCTCCGCGGGCCCTCGGGGCGCTTCGCGCACTCAAAGCGTCGCATCACGTGGGTCACAAGTTGAGCCGCCGCCCTTCAAAGCGGCCCCTCATGCTGCTGCAGTGAACGCTTCCCGCCAGAATTAATCTTGAGCCGCCGATTTTGTGTCAACATTTTTATATTTATTGCTTTAATTTCTCTGCTTTTTCTTTAAGTTACACCTTTTAAAAAATCTGTAGTAATTGGTAATGTTCGCCGTTTAAAGCGAGGTGCGGCGCTCGTCGTGTCGCTGCGCGCACGTTGGGGTGGTTGTGGGGGTTGGGGGTCTTGCGGCGAATGGCTCCGAAGCCTGAACCCAAGCCCAAGTTTCAGGAAGGTGAGCGGTGTGAACCTATACACTCTAGGGTATGCGGCCTGTGTTGAACCTATACACTCTAGGGTATGCGGCCTGCGTTGAACCTTTACACTCTAGGGTATGCGGCCTGTGTTGAACCTATAGGCTGCAGGGTATGTGGCCTGTGTTGAACCTATACACTCTAGGGTATGCGGCCTGTGTTGAACCTATACACTCTAGGGTATGCGGCCTGTGTTGAACCTATACACTCTAGGGTATGCGGCCTGTGTTGAACCTATAGGCTGCAGGGTATGTGGCCTGTGTTGAACCTATAGACTGTGGGGTATGTGGCCTGTGTTGAACCTATACGCGGTAGGGTATGCGGCCTGTGTTGAACCTATAGGCTGTAGGGTATGCGGCCTGTGTTGAACCTATACTCTGTAGGGTATGCGGCCTGCGTTGAACCTATAGGTTGTAGGGTATGTGGCCTGTGTTGAACCTATAGACTGTAGGGTATGTGGCCTGTGTTGAACCTATACGCGGTAGGGTATGCGGCCTGTGTTGAACCTATACCCTCTAGGGTATGTGGCCTGTGTTGAACCTATACACTCTAGGGTATGCGGCCTGTGTTGAACCTATAGGCTATAGGGTATGCGGCCTGTGTTGAACCTATAGGCTATAGGGTATGTGGCCTGTGTTGAACCTATAGGCTGCAGGGTATGTGGCCTGTGTTGAACCTATAGGCTATAAGGTATGTGGCCTGTGTTGAACCTATAGGCTGCAGGGTATGTGGCCTGTGTTGAACCTATAGGCTGCAGGGTATGTGGCCTGTGTTGAACCTATAGGCTGTAGGGTATGTGGCCTGTGTTGAACCTATAGCCTGTAGAGTATGTGTCCTGTGTTGAACCTATAGGTTGTAGGGTATGTGGCCTGTGTTGAACCTATAGGCTGCAGGGTATGTGGCCTGTGTTGAACCTATTGGCTGTAGGGTATGTGGCCTGTGTTGAACCTATAGGCTGCAGGGTATGTGGCCTGTGTTGAACCTATAGGCTGCAGGGTATGTGGCCTGTGTTGAACCTATAGGCTGTAGGGTATGTGGCCTGTGTTGAACCTATAGGCTGTAGGGTATGTGGCCTGTATTGAACCTATAGGCTGTAGGGTATGTGGCCTGTGTTGAACCTATAGGCTGCAGGGTATGTGTCCTGTGTTGAACCTATAGGCTCCAGGGTATGTGTCCTGTGTTGAACCTATACACTGTAGGGTATGCAGCCTGTGTTGAACCTATAGGTTGTAGGGTATGCAGCCTGTGTTGGACCTATACGCTGTAGGGTATGCGGCCTGTGTTGAACCTATAGGCTGCAGGATATGTGACCTGTGTTGAACCTATAGGCTGCAGGATATGCGGCCAGTGTTGAACCTATAGGCTGTAGGGTATGTGGCCTGTGTTGGACCTATAGGCTGCAGGGTATGTGGCCTGTGTTGAACCTATAGGCTGCAGGGTATGTGGCCTGTGTTGAACCTATAGGCTGTAAGGTATGTGGCCTGTGTTGAACCTATAGGCTGTAGGGTATGTGGCCTGTATTGAACCTATAGGCTGTAGGGTATGTGGCCTGTGTTGAACCTATAGGCTGTAGGGTATGTGGGCTATGTTGTGCCTATAGGCTGCAGGGTATGTGTCCTGTGTTGAACCTATAGGCTGCAGGGTATGTGTCCTGTGTTGAACCTATAGGCTGTAGGGTATGTGTCCTGTGTTGAACCTATACACTGTAGGGTATGCAGCCTGTGTTGAACCTATAGGTTGTAGGGTATGCAGCCTGTGTTGGACCTATACGCTGTAGGGTATGCGGCCTGTGTTGAACCTATAGCCTGCAGGGTATGTGGCCTGTGTTGAACCTATAGGCTGCAGGATATGCGGCCAGTGTCGAACCTATAGGCTGTAGGGTATGTGGCCTGTGTCGAACCTTTAGGCTGCAGGGTATGCGGCCTGTGTTCGTATACAATCCTTGTAGGGAATGCGGCCTTTGTCGATCCTATAGGGACCGGGGTCGTATGTCTGTGTTACACGTATACACTGGAGGGTAGGCGGTGGTAGTGGCTGAGTGGTGGTGATGGCTGAGTGGTGGTGGTGGCTGAGTGATGGTGATGGCTGAGTGGTGGTGGTGGCCGAGCGGCGATGGTGGCTGTGCGGCGATGGTGGCTGTGCGGCGATGGTGGCTGTGCGGCGACGGTGGTGGTGGCTGAGTGACGCCGGTGGTGGTGGCTTAGTGGTGGTGGTGGCTGAGCGGCGGAGGTGGTGGTGGCTGAGCGGCGACGGTAGTGGTGGCTGAGCGACGCCGGTGGTGGTGGCTTAGCGGTGGTGGTGGCTGGGCGGCGGCGGTGGTGGTGGCTGAGCGGCGACGGTGGTGGTGGCTGGGCGGCGGCGGTGGTGGTGGCTGGGCGGCGGCGGTGGTGGTGGCTGGGCGGCGGCGGTGGTGGTGGCTGAGCGGCGGCGGTGGTGGTGGCTGGGCGGCGGCGGTGGTGGTGGCTGGGCGGCGGCGGTGGTGGTGGCTGGGCGGCGGCGGTGGTGGTGGCTGTGCGGCGGCGGTGGTGGTGGCTGGGCGGCGGCGGTGGTGGTGGCTGGGCGGCGGCGGTGGTGGTGGCTGGGCGGCGGCGGTGGTGGTGGCTGGGCGGCGGCGGTGGTGGTGGCTGGGCGGCGGCGGTGGTGGTGGCTGGGCGGCGGCGGTGGTGGTGGCTGGGCGGCGGCGGTGGTGGTGGCTGGGCGGCGGCGGTGGTGGTGGCTGGGCGGCGGCGGTGGTGGTGGCTGGGCGGCGGCGGTGGTGGTGGCTGGGCGGCGGCGGTGGTGGTGGCTGGGCGGCGGCGGTGGTGGTGGCTGGGCGGCGGCGGTGGTGGTGGCTGGGCGGCGGCGGTGGTGGTGGCTGGGCGGCGGCGGTGGTGGTGGCTGGGCGGCGGCGGTGGTGGTGGCTGGGCGGCGGCGGTGGTGGTGGCTGGGCGGCGGCGGTGGTGGTGGCTGGGCGGCGGCGGTGGTGGTGGCTGGGCGGCGGCGGTGGTGGTGGCTGGGCGGCGGCGGTGGTGGTGGCTGAGGGGACGTGGCTGAGGGGACGTGGCTGAGGGGACGTGGCTGAGGGGACGTGGCTGAGGGGACGTGGCTGAGGGGACGTGGCTGAGGGGACGTGGCTGAGGGGACGTGGCTGAGGGGACGTGGCTGAGGGGACGTGGCTGAGGGGACGTGGCTGAGGGGACGTGGCTGAGGGGACGTGGCTGAGGGGACGTGGCTGAGGGGACGTGGCTGAGGGGACGTGGCTGAGGGGACGTGGCTGAGGGGACGTGGCTGAGGGGACGTGGCTGAGGGGACGTGGCTGAGGGGACGTGGCTGAGGGGACGTGGCTGAGGGGACGTGGCTGAGGGGACGTGGCTGAGGGGACGTGGCTGAGGGGACGTGGCTGAGGGGACGTGGCTGGGCGGTGGTGGTGTTTGCTGAGCGGCGGTGGTGGTGGTTGCTGAGCGGTGGCTGAGCGGTGGCTGATCGGTTGTGGTGGCTGAGCGGTGGTGATGGTTCATGAGCGGTGGTGGTGGTTGCTGAGCGGTGGTGGTGGTTGCTGAGCGGTGGTGGTGGTTGCTGAGCGGTGGTGGTGGTTGCTGAGTGGTGGTGGCTCAGCGGCGGTGGTGGCGGCTGAGCGACGCCGGTGGTGTTGGCTGAGCGACGCCGGTGGTGTTGGCTGAGCGACGCCGGTGGTGTTGGCTGAGCGACGCCGGTGGTGTTGGCTGAGCGACGCCGGTGGTGTTGGCTGAGCGACGCCGGTGGTGTTGGCTGAGCGACGCCGGTGGTGTTGGCTGAGCGACGCCGGTGGTGGCGGCTGAGCGACGCCGGTGGTGGCGGCTGAGCGACGCCGGTGGTGGCGGCTGAGCGACGCCGGTGGTGGCGGCTGAGCGACGCCGGTGGTGGCGGCTGAGCGACGCCGGTGGTGGCGGCTGAGCGACGCCGGTGGTGGCGGCTTAGTGGCAGCGGTGTCTGAGGGGACGTGGCTGAGAGGCGGCGGTGGTTGCTGAGCAGTGGCTGAGCGGTGGTGGTGACTGATTGGTGGTGGTGACTGAGCGGTGGTGGTGACTGAGCGGTGGTGGTGACTGAGCGGTGGTGGTGACTGAGCGGTGGTGGTGACTGAGCGGTGGTGGTGGCTGAGCGGTGGTGGTGGTTGAGCGGTGGTGGTGGTTGAGTGGTGGTGGTGGTTGAGCGGTGGTGGTGGTTGAGCGGTGGTGGTGGTTGAACGGTGGTGGTGGTTGAGCGGCGGCGGTGGTGGTGGCTGGGCGGCGGTGGTGGTGGTGACTTAGCGACGCCGGTGGTGGTGGCTGAGCGACGCCGATGATGGCGGCTGAGTGGCAGTGGTGGTGATGGCTGGGCGGCTTGGTGATGGTGGCTGAGCAGCGTGGTGATGGTGGCTGAGCGACGCCGGTGGTGGTGGCTGAGCGACGCCGGTGATGGCGGCTGAGTGGCAGCTGTGGTGGTGGCTGAGCGGCGCGGTGATGGTGGCTGAGCAACGCCAGTGGTGATGGCTGAGCTACGCCGGTGGTGGCGGCTGAGCGATAGTGGTGGTGGCTTAGCGGTGGTGGTGGCTGAGAGGTGGTGGTGGCTTAGCAGTGGTGGTGGTGGCTTAGCGGTGGTGGTGGCTTAGTGGTGGTGGTGGCTTCGCGGTGGTGGTGGCTTCGCGGTGGT